ACTAAACTAGTTACAACTAGGTTCTTATGACAACATTCCTGACTTTTTAGAAATCTTCATAATTTGTCGCAAGCATGTGATGAAGCACACAAGCTTTCTCCTATTCAAGTTTTTGTTGCAGGGCGAGGTGACTGTTTACCTTAATAACTTACTGGAATATAAGTCATATTTTAGTTATATTCTAGCTGACAAGTATCATGCAGTTTTTCTCAAAAAATTTTCACTGCTTTTGTAAACATTGTATTCGCAATAATTTGGTGCTGTACGTTTGCATTTACGCATGAAAAAAGAAAGGAAAAGGAAACAGTTTGAGATTTAAGGAATTAGACCACTCGTCTTCAGTACTGACTTCAGAAGTTTTAATTACACGCAAGGATGTTTCTAATTCGTGATCACTGCATGTAGTCATTTAATGATAATCAATTTTTATAAAATAATTTATCTTCAACAAATAATTACACCATCCAGGATATTTTCGCTTAAAAATGAAGTCAGCATTTCTTGTGACAATGTTAAAAACGTACAGCATTCTTCCATTTAACGTCGAAACTTCGACGCCCCAATACTTTACCGAGTACTAAAAACAGCTTCCGAGTTAACACAGTTAGCGCAGTGGCAATATAGCTAATTAAACACGCTTGTGCGACTATTAAAGGCGCAGCTGAGACTGTGGATCCACGTGCGTTGCCTTCGCTTCGGCGTTTTGACGCGCGCCCGGAATGGCCTTCCTTTGCGACGTCACGAGGAGAGCGCTACGGCCTTGTTTTCTAGGAGGTGTTGCTCGTTCCCCCCTTCTCATGTCCGCGTGGGGGCGCGTCACCATAAGGGAGGTGAACGTGCCATTGCTACTTTATTCCTCCATTCTCTTTTTCTTATAGTGTATCTCCTGACGGAGGGAATAACGCTGGGACGAGGTTGGGCTGCCCTTCAATTGTAGTTCGCAAACGACACCCCCGAAAGCACTCGCCCTCAAAAAAAGTCAATCGATCAAAGGGCCAATTCCCGTCTGCCACTGGGCGAGTTAAGTCCGTGCTCCGAAGCGCGAGAGTTTGGCGTTCCTGTCACTAAACGGAGAGGAGTGCCACCGGAGACTGACACTCGAGCGCCCTCTTTGTGCACCGAAAATTGACTTCTCCGCGCTTTGTGACGTCCCGTAAACAAAAAAGATGGCTGCGCTGCTGTTGAGACCGTCGAGACGAAAAGGCGTAGCCGGACCGCTGCCCCCTTTCAGTTGATTAGTGCTTAATCCAGCGGATAAAAACGATTTGGTTTGAAAGCCAAGACGTCGATTAGCGTTCCGAAAAGGTGTGTTCGTGGATCTCGCCGGAAAAAGGAATTCATCTATCAAACGGTAGCGCGTCGATTGCACAGCGACAGAAAAATTTTCGAAATGAGGAGACATTCGGACCGCTCTGTTCCTTCCATAATGCTTAGTCCAGCGAATAAAGATACTTTGATTTGAAAGGCAAAATTCAGTGCGCGTTGAGGAAAAGATTTGTTCGTGCGTCTTGCCTGAAAACGAGTTCACCTATCGAACGAGCGTGCCGATAGCTGGGCGACAGAAAAGTTGTGATGAAAGGCAGACTGCTGCCCTGCTTAGAATGCTTAGCCCAGCCGCAGCGAATAAAGATACTTATATTGGAAAGCCGAAACACCAGTTAGTGTTGCGGGAAAGGTTTGTTCATGCATACCGCCTAAAAATGAATTTATGTACTCTCGAACGACGGCGTGCCGGTATCGGCGTAGCTTCCGTCTCGCTGCAAGACGCAACCTGGGAATCTCTGACAAATTTGAAGGTTTCCTGGGTCGACGTACAGGTTCAAGAATGTTGTCTTTAATTTCAATCAAAGCAGCATGGGTGGTCAATAAATATATTGGCCAAGGTAACCTTCCAGCTTCCACATATGTGCGCGAAGCGAGTCTTCAAACCTTTCATGAATATTAAAACGTTCGGAGAAACTTCATGACGTTGCCGTCTCTTTTGCTTCATAAGCTACCGCTCCACACGGGCCTAACTATTTATCTTCGAAATATGTTCGGCTTCTGCCACCCGTATCCTCGGCCGGAAGGAGCTCGTGTGGCCCGTCTGTTGCCCGTCGATAGTTTCTGGCCGTTTTCCATGACTTACTCGATCTGACTCTAGGGTAAAGGTGGTTATCGAAAACCGACCCGCGTCCAACGTTTCTCTATTTTTGTAGTCACGTGACGTAATCCGCCAGGGTAATTTGGGAGTTGGATCTATTCGAGTAGGTTTAGAACGCAGCCTCGGTGTGTCGCGCTCCTGTACGCTAAGCGCCGTTTAGTTGCTGCGCTCGGGGTATAAAACTCGAAGCGTTGGAGTAGGAGTAAAGGAGCGCCGACTTAACGCGCCCACGGACACGCGAAAGTGACGATGCTCGACCAAATACAGCTTCGCGACTGCCATTAGTTTGCCAAAAAGTGAAACTGCTTTTTGAGCCACCAGATGGCACCAGATTTCAAAAAGAGTCCGACGCGTTTGCCGCCTCCAGGCGCCACCCACCACACTCTAAGAAAAAATGGAGGAAAAAAGTAGCAACGGCGCGCCTTCCTCCCTTCTACCGACGCGCCCCCAAGCGGACACGAGAAAAGGGGAGGAACGAAACGTTTTTCTCCTTCTCCAGGCAGACGGGAGAAAGCTTTCGCCCTCCCGACTCATCGTCTTTCGGTTTCGTTTTTCGAGCAGGTCGCGCGCGTTGTTTAATAAATAGCTGTTGAGTTGATTGAGCTCCAGCAGCAGCGAAGGCCGCCTGTAATTCCATCTTCTAGTTTAAACGTCCAGAACATTTCGGTTGCATTGACGTTTTTATCACTAATTTTATCAAACGAGCAAACGAAGCCGCTAGAAACAGCGAAGTTCGGAGCAGTGCCAGCAGCGCCACGTACACTGGGGGATGGCCGTCTATTCTCCATGCCGGATTGCGTGACTCACGCGGCACGGAACGACGGAACTACAGCCACTACAGCCACTGCAGGCTGCAGCACTACAGACTACAGTAGCGAAAGCACGCGGAACTGTGTCGACGTTTTCGACGTTATGGAAACTGCAGGAACTGCGTCCAAGACAGGCAGGCTTTGCTGCCGGCTGCCTGGGTGCCTTCCCCCCTGAGTTCGGTTCTGTTTTCCGATGCCGAGTGCAACCGGCGTTCAACGTGGTTTTGTGTTTGTGCGTGTCAGCAACATAGCTGCAACATCGTGATGACAGTGTTGGGCTGTGAACAGAAGACTGGAATTATCGCCGATGTGACCATGTGTTCGCGTATCAGTGGTGTAACAAGAAGATGAGATTGTAAACTGTTGGGCATTGATGCGCTGGTCGGGTTGTGATCGGAGGGGGCGTTGTGTCGCAGGTTGACATTCCGCTTTACATTAAAAAGTTTAATACCACTTGAGGGATTACGTGCAATCGATCAACGTGCGGATAGTCATGTTGGAACGCTGGTCTGAACAGTAGAAGCTCCTACCGTACAGTGGCCAATGTGACTGTCGGAATTGTCTCGTCCACGACAGCGATTGCGCTCAGGGGCAAGGACTGAACAGTACGAAAGCGTGACGTAAAGTGCGTATATTTACAGTATGGAATTTCGGCATTAAAAACAATAGTAGGTAAAATCGAAAAAAAAAGCTACCCTTTATTTTGCTGTTTAATTATACTACGGTTGCTGGAGAAACTGCCCTCCGTGGCGCGGTGGGATGAGCGCTAGAAGTTTTCGGGCTCGCCACGGCGTAGTTCCGTACACTTAACACCTGCCGCAAGTCGCGGCTTTGACTGCATTCAAGTTGATCGAAAAGCAATTTCTCAGTCCGTGAAACATCACTTCCAGCTGACTGAATATCCACTCTACAGAGATTATTTCAAACGGCAATTGCAGCTTCGCGCGAACAGCACAAATAGAAAAACAAATAGAAATACAAGGTACGACTTGCCGTGTGGGGAAACAAACTCATGGCTTCGAACCGCATTGGAGCGGCTTGATTTATTGGCTTTCAAATAATTACGGTATGATTTAGCGTTTACTTTTTAATAAGAGATTCCTGAGCCATTCAAAATACTCTCAAAGGTATGACATTGCAGGGAAAAAATCAACATGCTGGGAATATTTTTTATTGCTTAGGGAGTCACCGAAAAGTTCCGCACGTTCAAAACGACCAGTATAAAAGACGGAAACGCAGAGCACGGGTGTAGTGTTCGGGATAGTGTGGTGTTCCGTTGTATTGATATTTGTGTGTGCAGTGCATGTGCTTAATGTATGTTCACCTGATGCTTGTAATAAGTGTATGGGTGTCATGTGTGTATAGTAGGGGGTCCTCAAGCACTACAGTAGTGGCCTGAGAGAAGCAAATTATTTTTTGTAGAACATGAATTGGGCGGTACCTAGCGCCATCTAGCCTAGCTACTTGCAATTACTCTGCTTGACCCCGCCATCTGGTGGCTAGCGATTTAACCTTCTATCACGCTACGCGATAAACAGCGGCTTCGAGTTCGTTCTTTCGAGAGCGGCTTTTGATTTCGCGGAGTGAGTTTGCCCTTCTCCGTGATGTGCGGTTGACGAAGGAATTGTGACTCGAGGAACACCAAAGGTAAGACGCAAAGTGCGCGAAGTAACTGGGTATCGGTTGTCTCCGTTTAGCATCGCAGTGTTGTCGACGAGAAGACTGAGTAACTGCTTTCGAAACGCAGGTGTCTGTACCTGTGGGGGGAGTCTGGCTTCGGAAATAAACACAGTTTGCGGAAAGCTCGTGTTACGCTTTAATTTGGTGCTCCTCTCGTCCCGTACAAGAGACGTAGCGTCCTCGTTAAGCCTTATTGGGCTCGATTTTCTCGATTCGGGGCCGCCATATTGAGATGCAAGCGACGGTGGAACTTTGCTCCCCTGCTTCAGGGACGAAGGTTTCTCCCTTTCTAAAGGAACATAGGTTACAAGACCGTTCCTCCCGTAAGGGAGGACTATCCCTACCCTTTTTTCTAAGAGTGCAGGGCGAGGTTGAAGATGCCGCCCACGGGGCCGAGGACGGCTGCCTCCCGCAGCAGCGCCCTGGCGCCCTCCTCGGTGGCCGCGTCCGCCCGGCTCACGGCCACCTTGGCGCCGGCCATCCGCCAGCGGTGCAGGCAGAGGCGCTGGTAGCCCGTCCGGACGCCCGAGCGAGCCGTGAGCAGCAGCCTGCGGCAGCCCCGGGCCACCATCCAGTCGGCCAGCTCCAGGCCGAAGCCGCCCAGGCCCCCGGCCACCACGTAGCTCTTGTCCTCGAAGAAGTAGGTGCGCGCGTGGGCCTCCACCAAGAGGGGCGTGGCCGCCATCGTCTGCCGCAGGGGTTCCTCGGGCCGCACCTGGGAGAGGACGCGTTCGGTCGTTAGGCCCATCGGCCAAATTCACGCTTCTCGTTTGTTTCGAGTACCTAAAACAATTCTTTTCAAGTACCGAAAACTGCGAGGCTGTTCCGGGGCAGGACGAAAGTAAAGAATTATTATTGTTATTGTTGCTCTAAACGCGCGGCACCAACGAATGCTCGGTCGCCATTCGCATCCAAGGGTGGCTCATTTCAGAAGTGCACCGTAATTTCCTTTTGCAGAACGAGCTACGGGCCGCGTGCACTGGCAAATTCGACGCTCAAAAAGCTTTTGACGCATCGAGGAGCTGTACTTAGTTGCAGTCAGAAGTGCCTCCCACCGTTTGCGGAACGCCGCGGAAACAAGTCGGGCGACGAGGGAAACAGCGCCGCTCCAGGGCGGATCAAAACGCGACACAATGGCGATCTTCCGAATTCAGCGTATAGGCTGGTTCACACACTTAAGTTTGCTTGCATCCCAGCGCACTGTGCGCTATTGTGCAGTCTAAAAGTCGTTTCACATACTTGCACTTTTTAGGATCGAGTGCATTATCACCTCTCGTGATCTCTTACGATGGAAATAGAGCCTAGAACTAGAGAGAATCCATTTCAAGCCAGGGGGAGCGTTTCCAGGTTAATGGCGGAGATTTACCGCGAGTGCGCATGCGCGGTGGTTTCCCGTAAAAAGGAGGAAAGCGGCTGGAAAAACAGAGGTGCTCGCAGATGACTTACGCTTGCGCCACCTCCGCGCAGCTCGTATTGCAAATAGAAACCACGCGACCCCGATAAACCAATGGGAAATTCTTTGCAATGTAGGCTGTCTAGCGACGAGGGAGCACAATGGTGCCATCTATCGGCTAGCCGTAAAACACACGCGATTGCAATATATTTCCTTTTTTTTCCGCTTCATGACCTTTTCTCCTGTACTCTCGTCCACAGGCACCTGATAGGCATATCTGGTATGGGCGACGAAAAAATAATAAAACGTTTCAATCTGCAAATAGTAAAAGAAGAGAAGGGAGGCAAAACTAAAATGAGTAACGCTTACGCTTAAATCCTAAATGCATTCTATTGGCGTGGCGACGGCAAAACAGTGTTTTCGCCCATACTGGAAGTGACGATAATTCAAGATGGCGGCGCCGTTGTTTTTACAAGCAAACCTAAGCGCCCCTAGTGGACGCCACCGGCGCCGCGCATGTGCGATGGAGTGTGGGCAAGAACCTCGCCGTCGCCCATAAAGAAATCACTGAAATGCGATGTTGTCGGCGTCGGTGTGGGTCCCCCTGCCCTTTTAGCGTTCCGATTGTTGATGCTACGCCTTCCTGGCAATGTCTGACTACTTGAGTGGCCCCAGCGAAGTTACCAAGGCTCGTTACACCGCAAAATCTCGCTTGAATAACGTCACATGCGCCGTTCATTCCGCGAGGACGCCGCTGAATGTACGCTAAAGCCTGATTTGCATGATGAGATTTCGCTCGCAGTGTTCAGTCACGACGTCGCTCGGGCTGCAAAAGCGTCAACCGTAGATCAGATGGTCGACGACGATACTGAAAATCGCAAGCAGAATCGGGCCAAGTGAATCAGGCATAGCAAGTCGTTGATGGCCAGTGGTAACAATAATCAACTTTTCCTTGTATCTACAAGGAGCCTGCTTACCAACCTCAAAACTTAAGTCTTTTGAGGCCTGCACTTACTTCGTATCGCAAGTACCGGCCAACGATTGGTGTATGAGCCGGTGTCGTCTAAAAAGCAGACGACAAGCAGAAACGTTTGAAAGAGCAGACGACAGTTCGAACGATCAGGCGGCCGTTTGAACTTGAAGACGCACTGAATGTAGACCGTAGGTGGTCCGTACAACTTGACGTTTCCCCGCGTTCATGGTGGAACAAAAGAAATAAATCTGATGACCTCAAGTATCCGTGAATTCGACACTAAGTGCGTCCCGCCTAAGCAATCATGGTCCGACGGCGCCTGGTTTTCCCTTTTTACGGCACATGTCCCCGCTCTCGGAGAAACCGAGCATATGAAAAATGACCGTCATGTCATTCTTGACTATTTTGGTACAGCCCCCGGTCGCGGCGTTTTGGCGAGAAAGCAGGTTTTTGTCTGGTTGCTTTGAAAAGAACGCAAAACTAAACATCTCACATTGGGATTTCCGCCCACACCCCCAGACCGGAAGTGCACCCGACGCGCGACCACCGCTCCGTGACGTAACAGAGTTGAGTTCGTGTATATTTTTGCGAGACTTGTTGTGACGTCAGAACGCCGAGCTCTCATTTGCTCTGATCAAAGGATAGTGCGTAGACCTGAAGGTAGCTAGCATTTAGGTCTGCCAAACTATACTCCCATTCGGAGCAAATCAGAGCTCGGCGTTCTGACGTCACTGCAATCCCTGTAATAGAAGCAGACGGACTTGCTCTCCGCATTAATTCGAAGAACTTTTGCAATGTTATAAATAGGGATGTCGCAAACTTTTGCCGAACCTCAAAGGTTCGCCTGGTTCGCCGAATTTTCGACTTTTAACTAAAGTTCGAAGAAGTTCGACTTATGGACAGTGGTTCCCCGCTTTAACATGAATATTTCGAACATTGGGAAACAAACACTTTAGAAAGTAGTTTCTTTTATACTTTATCAAAGAGTTACCAATGTTTACTTTATACAAAAGCGAAAATATGTGTTTTTAATGCTTTCGTGAGTTAGCAATGCGAACCAGTGGTGCCAATACACCCAACAAATATTGCACGTTTCCTCCGCCAGGTGGAGTCAAATGTTGTTTTCATCATTTCGCCAGACTCCCTCAGGCAGCGGTTGCGGTGAGCGGACGTGTTTCCTGGTTCTCCTTGAGCATCCGAAGCTAAGTGCCAGTTTTTCTTCGTTTCTCTCTCTCTCTCTCTCTCTCTCTCTCGTTTTTAAAAGTTTATTGGAAGTGACTATGCGGTAGCAGTATTAGATTTGGACAGTAGCAGTTGAAGTTAGTTTCGCAAAGTAGGCTCTGTTTGAACTTTTGACGGGAAGCGACGGTTTGTTCCCGGTCTGGACATGGGTCTAGATTTGGGTCGGCATGACAAGAATGGGGACGGGTTGGTGCAGTGCGAGGGGGGTGGGAGGTGGTGTTAGTTAGAGGAGACGGGTTTCGGGAGTCTTCAGGAGGCGGCGGGGATGAGTTTCGAGTGTCGGCTTTGTGTGAAGCTTCAGCAGGTAACTGGGGAATGGGAGGGTAGAGTTCGGGAGATTGAGGCCCAGCTTAAGGCAGAAGTGGAGAAGCGGGTGGGTCTCGAGGCCCAGGTTGAGGAGCTGACTAGGCAGCTTACTCATGAGAGGGAGCAGCGGGTCGGCCTCAAGAAGCAGGTGGAAGAGCTGGGGGAAATATGGAAGGCGGGTTTAGAGGAGCGTAAGAGGGCGTGTGACAGCAGGGTAGAGCACCTGGAAAGGGTAATTCGAGCGAGTGGGAGTAGCGAGGGAAGAAAGGAGGAAGTGTCAGTTCTAGCGGGACGAACCACCAGTCTGCAGGCTGGGGTGACTGGTGGTCGGGAGTCCAGCGTTGGCTGGCGGGCTCGACGACGCTGGAGAGCTGAGTGACACTCAGCTCAATGGCGCCTTCGAGCAGCAGGCGTCGGGCAGTCAGGTGACAGGAGACAAGTCGCAGGACAAAGGCGCGCAGGTACCAGGGGAATCTAGGGTACTGGTACTGGTGAGCTTTAACGTAGCACGGGTTAAGAGGGGTGTACATAACAGGGTGAAGGGAGACCAGAGGGTAACCGTAGAGGTTCAGCCAGGGAAGTGTATGGTGGATGCTATGACCACAGCACGTGAGGCGGTGTAGGATAACAGAGAGGGAAGGAACCTAGTAATAGTTCATGCGGGGCTTAATGACGCGCTCAAGGGTAGGAGCCAGAACCTTGGAAAGCAGCTAAACGTGGGAATACGTAAGCTGAGGGACGTCTCTGAGAATGTGCACGTGGTTGTGTGCACCATTCCATATGTTCGGGGGCAGTCCGGGGTAACGGAGAGGAGGGTTGTCGAAGCCAACAGTGTAATTAAGGGTATGAGTCGACAGCTTCGGTACGACGTAATGGAAGTAAGCAGAGAAGTGTACGAGGCTGGCTCCCGCCCTTTTGCAGATGGCATTCACTACAGTGAGGCCACGAGTTACAGGGTGGGGGATAGGATGGGCCGCACGGTGACCGCTTTTTTGGGTTTTCAGTTACTTCAGTGCCCTGCGGGCACTGAAGTAACTGAAAACCCAACAAAGCCAGGACAGGCACCCAGGGTTAAAAAAAGGAGAAAACGTAAGAACAGGTATAAAGAAACAGCACAGTCAGACATTGGATATATTAACATGCAGAGTGGCAGAAATAGGTTAAAATGGGAAGAGGTAGGGGAGCAACTAAGAAAGGAGGATTTCATGTTGTATGGGTTCGTGGAAACACATCTCAGAGACATGGAGCAGCCACCTTGCAACCCTGACTATGTGTGGGAAGAACGCAACAGAATGGAGGGAACGAGGAAAGGGGGTGGAATTGGAGCATTTATTAAGAAGAAAATGAACTTTCAAAGGATCAGAAAGCAGTGCGTTGAACATTTGTGGCTGAAATGAAAAGTCGCTGGGGAATCAACAGTCCTTGGGGTTGTTTACGTATGGAAAGGGACAGGTACTAAAGAGGAAAACAGAAAAATGATTGATTGTATATCAAGAGACATTAGTGAGCTAGGGGAAGGCTCTGAAATAATTATTATGGGAGACATGAATGCCCATATCGAAGGTCTGGATGAGTACACGGACTCAACTGGAAGCATATTACTAGAACTGGTGAAAAAACTTGACTTAGTTTTATTCAATACCAGTCAGAAGTGTGACGGGCACATAACGTGGGAAACTGGCAATCTACATTCAACTATGGATTACGCACTCATGTCACACAAAGTATATGGTAAGTTACAAGTAATTAAAATAGATTAAGAAGGTTCCAAAAGTCTTGGTAGTGGTCACAAACGTATTATGCTGAATTTTGCCAGAGAAGTAAATGTTGAAACTAGACAACATAATTCAAAGCAAACTTTCTGCAGCGACAAAGAGTTGGAAGTAGTTGCTGAAAGAATAGAGGAAGCAGTTTTAGGGTAACGGTATATGAATTGGACCTATGAGAGCCTAACCAGGCTCTTTGCTTTGGAACTATACAAAGTTCAGAGTAAACATAAGGGGAAGCAAGGACATAGACCAAAAAGCTGGTGGGAGAAAGAAGTGAAGCAAGCGATACAAGAACGTCAGGAAGCCTCTAGAGAACACAGGCATTCCAAGCGCAGTGGGGATTCAGAAACGGAAGTAAAAAGAAAATGGGACACTTTTATAACATGTCGCCAAGTGGCATCCAGTTTGATCAATGCGAAAATTCAGAGGAAGGGTGAGGAATGGATCAGTAATGTAAGCAGCCAAGAAGTTTTGGGAGCACTTGAACTCACTCGGTGAAACGACGCAAGCTAGACAGTGGTTCATACTCTCGCACCAGGGAGATCAATTACACGGGGATGATGCGATACGATATATAGGAGCAGTGATGGAGGAGAAATTTCGAGAACGGGTACATGTGGAAGATAGGAGAACCGAAGGAAGTAGCAGTCCAGCTTGTGACATCGCAGATTTTGGACAAAGAGAATGGGAAAAGGCGGAGTGAAGAGTCCCTATTGGCAAGTCGACAGGCACAGATGGGATCCCAATCAAGCTGGTGAAAAATTTGGGTCCTAAATCTAAGGCAAAACTAAGGCAGGTAGTGAGCACTATGATAACATAAGGAAATATCCCAGATGAATGGGGGCTTAGTAGGATGAGTATGATATATAAGGGAAAGGGAGGTAAGTCCGATATTAGGAATTATCGTCTCATAACCGTGACACCAGTTATTTACAGGTTGGTAACGCAGATTGTAAAGAACAGACTGGAGGAATGGGTAGATTGCGAGGGCATACTAGGCGAGTTACAGAACAAGTTTCGGAAACAAAGAAGGTTGGAGGACAATATATTTTCTCTAACACAGTGTATAGAAATAGCGCAAAAACAAAACAGACCGCTCTGGCTGGCATTCTTGGATATCAAGGGTGCCTATGACAATGTGAACCAAAGGAACCTGTGGGACATACTGGAGAGCTTAAACCTAGATGAAGAACTAACAGCCCTATTAAGGAACATTTACAAAGATAATAAGGTAATTATAACATGGGAAGGAAAGGCGACGGGGAAGACAGAGATAAGACGAGGCCTTAGGCAGGAGTGCCCGTTATCGCCTTTGCTGTTTATGTTGTATCTTAGAGGATTGAAGGATAGATTAGAGAAGAGTGGGCTTGGATTCGACCTTTCGTACAGTAAGCTAGGCCAAAAATTCAGCAATCCTTACCGGGATTGATGTACGCGGATGATATCGTACTAATGGCTAACAGAGTTGCAGGAATTAATGAGCATCTGTGGTAAGGAAGGAGAGGAATTAGGTTTAGAATTTAGTAATGACAAATCAACAGTCATGATTTTTAAGGATGATGAAGTTGAGAGGCTGAAGATACAGAATATTACAGTTGAGAGAGCTAGTACATACAAGTATCTAGGAGTATGGATATGTGATGGTGCAGAATGTCTCAGTGAGCATGAAAAGTATATAATAGGTAAGGGCAACAGAAATGCAGCTGTAATAAAAAATAGAGCACTTTGAAATTACAACAGGTATGAGGTAATGAGAGAGATTTGGAAAGGGGTCATGGTGCCTGGCTTGACTTTTGGAAACGCAGTGCCATGCATGAAATCCGAAGTGCATGCAAGACTAGAACTAAAACAGCGCGGAGTAGGTAGGCTGGCTTTGGGGGCATATCGCAAAACACCAAACCAGGGAGTACGAGGAGACATGGGATGGGCGACTTTTGAGAGCACGGAACCGGTGAGCAAGAGAGCGTTTGAGGATCGGTTGAGGCAAATGGATGGGAACCAATGGGCACGAAAGGTTTTCAGCTATTTGTACATGAGGAGTATAGACACAAAGTGGAGACAGCGCACTAGAAAATTAAGAGGAAAGTTTTTAGGCTATGGTGGAGATACGGAAGAGCTGCTGTCAGTTAAGAAGAAAGTTAAGGCGACAGGAAGGGATCGGTGACTAGACGGAATGCAGACAAAGACGGCTCTGGAAAGCTATAGATTAAACAAAACAGTTACTGCAAAAGAAAACATTTATGACCATTCTAGGGGAAGCTCATTGTTGTTTGAGGCGAGGACGGCTGTTCTGTGAACCAGAACATACAGAGCGAAGTACCAGAAAATGGATACAGTGTGCACGGCTTGTGGAGAGGAGGACGAGGCGACTGAGCACTTGATATTCTACTGTAAAGGGCTTCACCCTGTGCCTACCGAAGGCAACATAGATTCAATCAAGTCATTGGGTTTTAGAGACAGCGAAGGAAGAGTGGATTTCAAGACTGTAGAGATTACGAAGCAAAGATTAAGTGAATGGTGGCAGAAAGCGAGGGAAAACTAGGCATTTTCTTATTAACTGATGCCAAGGAGGTTTTATAGCCTCTCTTTCTTTGCAGTGCGGAGTGAATATAGATTCCACGTTTAAATATTCTAAGCTTAAATGGTAAAACAAAATGGCTAGGTGGCGTAAGCTACCGCCCGATCCAAAGGGCTCAGCCGGAGTCATCCATCCATCCATCCATCCATCCATTTTCGCGCATGCGCAAAAAAATCGAACTTTAGTTCGACTTTTTTGCGAACATCACGTTGAAAGTTCGAAAAAGTCGAACTTGATTGAACTCGAACCTGGACAGGGTCACGACATCCCTAGTTATAAACAACCATTTCACGTACATAGTATATATATATATATATTGTTAGGGTGATGCTGTCCGCAGCAGAAAGGACAGGAGAGTACACGATCATAGAACACACAAAGGATTTATGGAGGCCGAGCCGGCCCGTGGGGCCTGGCGCGAGATGGACGAGCGCGCCACTGCCCCGTCGTCGTCTTCACCTTCCTGACAGTACTCCCTCCGACGAAAAGGGCCGACCCGGCCGGTGAATAAATGAACACATAAAGCACACTTACAACGCCACACACACAGAAGGACAAAGGACGGCTGCCGACAGCGAGGGTGGCGATGAAGATGGAAACGTTGAATTTCGGCCTCTTCCGCAGCGTCACCGACCTCTGCACCAGCCGCACGACGGCACGGCCCGGGCTGGGGGACTCACGTCACTCAGAAGCGTCGGAGCGTCGGGGGCTGGGGATAGGGGCGGGGGATCGTCTGTCGGCCTCGTCTGATGCGGCTTCGTCCGATTCGGCTTGTCATGGCGTCTGGGCGGGGGCTGGGCGACGGAGCCATGGGCTGGTGCTTGGTCTGCTGCTGCGGATGACTGCCTCAACGAGGCGGGTTCATAGGATCACAGCGACGCCGATGTTCAATGAAGGAGATGAGGATGGCTCCGCACCTCCACCATACTGTTAGGGTGATGCTGTCGGCAGCAGAAAGGACAGGACAGTACACGATGATAGAACACACGAAGGATTTATGGAGGCCGAGCCGGCCCGTGGGGCCTGGCGCGAGATGGACGAGCGCGCCACTGCCCCGTCGCCGTCTTCACCTTCCTGACAATATATATATATATATATCACTCAGAAGAAAAAACCCTTAGTGAAAACAGCAACAACGGACGATTTAATCTTCGACGTTTCGGCCGGAGTCCGGCCTTCGTCAGGAAGAACTTCCTGACAAAGGCCGGACTCCGGCCGAAACGTCGAAGATTAAATCGTCCGTTGTTGTTGTTTTCACTAAGGGTTTTTTCTTCTGAGTTATATACCCACGCCTTCGGCCTCCCGCCACCATGCCCGTTATATATACATATATATATACATTTGACCTCAAAATCCTGCGATACCTTCACTCTAATAAAACGCAGTTCAACGCTTACCTCTTAGATGGCGCCAGCGTGTCACCTCGTAAGATATTGCGATAGGTCATTATGCACTCGATTGCAAGCAGTCACAACTGTGATTGCTGCGACCCAGTGCAAACAGACACTCGCTGCGGACACAACAGTATTACCTGAAGACATGCCTCAAGTATGTTGCAACTCTGTCTGTCCGTGTCCGAAGACAGTCTTCGTGTGACAAAGAGGACGGTGTACGAGAAAGGCAACGCCACGGTCAGGACGAGCGGCGTGGGACACCCACCTCGAGCACCACCTTGCCCATGTGCTTGCCGGAGGCCATGAAGCGGAAGGCCTCCTCGACGCGGTCCCGGGTGAAGCGGACGGCGTCCAGGGGCCGCACGGCGCCTGAGGCGATGCCCTCGCGCACCAGCTGGATCACCCGGCGCTTGTCCACCGCCACCCGGGGGTCGTCCCCGAACAGGGCGTCCAGCATGATGCCCTGGAAGCTGACGTTCTTGAGGAACACCGCCATGCCCAGGGCGTTGTTCTGGGACAGGTCGAACTTGCCGATCTCCAGGAAGCGGCCGTGGGTGGCCAGGCAGCGCACGCTCGCCTGCAGCTTCTCCTCTGCCAGCGAGTTCAGCACCAGGTCCACCCCTGGGGGTGCACGAGAGGGTTCATGGCCCACTCCCACAAGCTCCCAGAGCTAGCCGTTTTTCTCGCACAGTCCTTTCGTCTGGTAAACGCGGGAAGTAGGACGGCCGTCGAGGCCCGGGGTCTCGGTGCGGGGCAAACGCCAAACACCGACTCACCCCTGCCCTCGGTCTCGCTGAGGATGTGCTCTTCGAAGGAAAGGTCCCGAGAGTTTGCGAAGTTGCGGTCCTGCAGTTGTGGGAAGCGCCGCTTCAGGAACTCCCGCTTCTCCTGGGAACCTGCAGGCAACGCCGAGCGGACAGCGTGAGCAGTATGGATGACAGGGATTGACACTTTTGTTAACCCCACGGGTCTTGTTTTCGTACCCCCTCCAGTACAAAGCGGACGGCGTCCAGGGGCATTAAATGGCTCTTACTATATTTCTCAAACTATAGTCAGTGCAATACCTTAACGAAATAACTGAGTGTGCTGGCGAGCTGGCACTAATTAATCCTAATCTAACAGCTAAGAATGTGATGCGGGAAAAGTTAAGAAACTTTTAAGTCGAATAAAATGCAAAAATAAACAAATTATACATTATCATTTTTTATGAGGAGGGCAAATTTCGCTTTTTTTTAATCTTCAGTGTACAAGGTCAATGTTTTTCTGTGTCTCCTCCAAATATGTTTTTAGATAGATTTTTAGTCTTTAGTTAAAAAAGAAAGTGTCTTCTAGTCATAGCCGTTCTGAATAAAAGTTGCATACTTTAGCTGAATGTAAAAGAGCGTCTTCTAGTCACAGCCATTGAGAAAAAAAGGTTGTACAGTTTAGTTGAATGGGTTCTAATATTAAAAGGCCATTCGGTTGTTGTGTCTACTAAGAGTGTATCTGTCAAAAAGTCGGTGATATCATCACCGGGTGTATACGTATAAGGAGTGAGAAAGATAAACAATTTTAGCTGCGTTTGAGACGTTCTCCTACTGTTGTCTTTTTTCTTCGACTTGAGTTTCTTAATTTTTCCGCACCATAGTCTTGGGTGTTGCATTATGACGAATAAACTGTACATGTTTAAAAGTCTTATGGAGTGCACACTATCTACAGGGGGACTCTATACAAAGATTTTTTGTGAGCTAATGAAGCAGGTATTTTCCAAGATGTGCTTTGCATAGGAATTGTTAGTCTGGGTACAGACGATCTAAGAAAAAATATTTTCTTTTTCGACCGAACTTTGTCTCTTCAGAATATACACCAGTGCACGGCTTCGACGTCGTGCCGCTGAGGTGCCGCCAATGTCGGCACGGTGCAGGTGAAGACATTACATGTCCTGCTAATCTGGTTTCTGCCCACGTGTAGTGCCCACATTTGGCGTGGGCAAACGTGGGCTTATATGTAAAAGGCACGTTGATCTATACACCGGGCGTGGACTATAGGCTGGGAAATAAAGTAAATGGTTCGTAGTCGCATCGAAAAAAAAAAATTCAGCAAAACTAAAGAGCAGGCAGCCTGTTTGGGCCATGGAGTTAAGATAATAAAGTAGAACCTCGGTGATACGTTCCTGAAAGGACCGCAATATAAAAACAAAAACAAACGTATAGTGTAGGAAAACGTAAAAAGCGAACAAGAAGAAGGACCTTAAGTGCTGGAAGCTCGCCGGGACTGGCAGTTTTGAAGCTCAAAGTCGGGAAAACGTGAAAATCGGAAACGTATCAATGACGTTCTATTATATATTTATTTATTTATGAATACCACTAATCCTCATTGAATGATTTCCGTAGGGTGGTACAAAAACACGCATGGATAACCACAGTACGAAGAAAACAGTGTTATACAGAGGGTAAGAAATATATGAAATAAACGGAGTGGATGAGACACTGTATTTTTGCATCAAGTGCGCTTCAACATCATTCATGAAGTATGTTAGTGAGCTAGCGTCGACAACGTGTTCGGGCAAACCGTTCTAGTCCTGGACTGCTAGAAGAAAATATGAAAATAGAAAGCAATTATTTTTAGGTTGGAACTCCTCGAATAATTTCCCAAAGTTTGAACAGTTTGCTCTTCCATCGTCGGGAATGAGGTAGTTGGATTTTTCTGTTTTAGTGATGTATGGGGTTGTTCCTCGAATTAGCTTCAATCTCGTGAGCTTAGCCCTTAACTTCTAGTGGCTGCACGCCGAGCCCTCTACACAGCTCAGAGGGTGAATCACGCGGGCCGAACCTGTTGGTACTGAACCTTACAGCGAGCCTCTGCACTTCGTTCAAGTTTTGTATAGAACATAGATCATAGAACAAAAAAAAAAAAAAAAGAACAGGTTAATGCTTGTCAAGGGGAAACAAGCACGACTAGCATATTCACGCACAGGCCGGAGAAGTGTTGTGTAGGACAACAGTTTATTATCCAGGAATGCTTATTTAGGTGGCCTTCTTAGGCACCACAATTTCGTTGGCGTTTTTTTGACCACTGCGTTTATGTGCATGTCCCCTAGATTCCTGCACTCGTGCACGTTTTGTATTATGTTTCCGTTGATGTAATCAGAATAAATCATAATGTGTTTCTTTTTTGTTTTTATGGGCATGGCTACTGTTTTGTCTCTTTTAATAAGTATCTGCCATTCTTTACACCAGTCTAAGACCTTGTTCAACGCACATTGTAATGTTAAGTGGTCCGAAGGCTTTGCCATTTCAGAATTACCAACTTTGCGGATGACATAGCCGGAAACTAAAGTTGGTCTCGCGCAATAAATAATGCTGCAAAACTTCTTTTTAGCGGAAAAAAATGTTTTGTGACATGCTAGTTCCAATTTGACTGTTAAAAAAAAACGCTTTTTTTCATTTGCAGTTACCCTTTAAGGAGGAAGTCGTAGTTTATTCAGAACCGCGAACCGCAACTTTCCTATTTTCACAGTCTTCGGATTGAGAATTAATTTTTAAGTTATACATTTCCGTTTGTTTGCAACGGGGCGCGGAGTCGAACGGGAAAAGTTCACCGTTTTGGAATTGCGACGGAACAAACCGAAACAGAGTTTGCCTAGATTAACACTTTCCAAAAAGTGAGGATACCGCGAGACAAATAAATTAAACCAGGAAACGAGAATACTCGAGAACGGCGGTGGGTGTGCCTTGGAGTCAGCAAAGGAGAGCGGGCCTTACCTTCTCGAGGGCCTCCTGCAGGGCCGGCCCAACGGGTTGCACGTAGTGACTGTGGAAGGCCACGTCCACGTTCCTCACCTCCCGTACAAACACATTCTCCGCCTTGAGCTGTACCACCAGCTGGGTCACCGCTTCAGCTGGGCCGGATACCGTCACCGAGTCCTCAGCGTTGTGGCAGGCCGGGATCACTCCGTTGCGGCAACGCTGCTTCGCCTGCTCCCAGGTCAGGCCTGGGTGAGGCCGGACAGAGGTCCCTCCGTTTAGGGCAAGAGATCGCTGACCGTGCCCAGTACGGCTCCGTAGAAATTTCCCGATCATTGGTTGGTTGAGGACAAAAAATGTTCATTGACACAACGTTACCTAAACATCACAACCTCCGTTTGCAAAACACAACAATATCAGTCGAAATTCCGAAGTCTGAGGTAACGCGCAATAGCGTAACACCAATAGACCACGAAGTCAATGGTTGTTTTAGGGCAGCTCACTTCTAGCAGTTACTATCGTTTGAATTGCTCCCAATTTCCAAAATGTCGTCTTTTTCAGAGACGTTGCATCGCCAGGGAAAAGTACCATCTTTTAGTGATTTTCGATTAAAAGATTGTACAACAAGCAGGTTTTTACTAACATTACGGTTTTCTTTGGTAACATTGACAAAACAGCTCCCAAGTAATTTCCTATTGCCTTTATCGACCATCGCCACCAGTCTGCAGTATCTCAACGTTAATGAATTGATGGCATCAGAAGGGCTCCGCTTTCATGTGATTTATTGGGTTCTTAAGAGTGGCTCGAGCGATTTCTCACTAAAACTGCCTTTGCAAAGCAAATTTTTTTTCTTCAGAAAATGTAATTTGAAAGCTTTTGCTTTGCTACTGTCGTGCACGTTTTAAACAGGTTCCATTAATGATTTTATTATATTATTTTTTGAAGGATTACAATTAAAGACACTGACACGAGAAAAATTACGCGTAATACACAAATAAACGCTATCAACTAGCCCCACTGTTCAATTTGGAGCTTCATACTCCTAGGTCAACCAATGTGAAAATATTGCAATTTTTGAATTCGGGAAAAATTGGATTCAACTTGCATTTTATACGACATGTTTGGGGTGAAAATATCAGAATATGTGGGGTTTATCCAAAGACGAAAGTTCCTAAATATAGACAACATTCTCTGGGACGAACTGGATAAATGTGTGCAATTATGTCTTGTTTTTATGGACCACTCACATTAGGGATGCTTCTTTAAGGAAATGGAGCCATCTATTGTAACCACTAACAAGCAGTGTTGCGCAAATATTCAAACATTCTAATAGCAGTTTCAAATTATACACTATTCCATATTCGCTTCGATATGAACTGTGATATTCATGCTTATCGAGGGGGTGATCGCGGCGAGTTAACTTCCGTTGAGTGCGCTTCACACCGAGCACTTGTGCACTGCGGGGAAGCAACACCCGTTGTATCTCCGCAGTGCACAGGTGCTCAGTGAGAAGCGCACTCGACGGGGCTATCCCTCTCCGATTATGCGAGAGAAAAATATGGGCAGCTATGTCTTGATAACCGAAGCTCCTCATTCGTGCTTGCTACAGCCAAGCTGTACAGCACACGCAGTTCGGATTTCTGAAAATTTTGCGTGTCGCCGTTCTCACGGAAAATGTCTTTCAGCGAATGAAGTGAAAAGTGCATATCACACATACCACATACAGCACATCATTCGTTTCAATAAAAAAGAAGCATAAAATAGGCATCCGAACCAGATAATTGATAATAAGGCGCTCCTGACAACAATGCCAAGCGTGCAGCTCTCATTGCATACGTTTCGCGGTAAAGATTAATGTTGCGCAAGCTGTCGTCGCGACGACAGCTTGCGGCGTGGGAAGTGATGCCACAAGCCTTTCATTTATAAAAATATTTGGGACAGTGAATTTCCTTTTAATGCGAAAGGATGATATGCTCGATTACGGAAAAACCCGGCATCGTCGGCGGCGTGACCAAGCAATGATACTAAAAATGTCCAACCGCGCAAAGAGGGAAAACATGTAAACAAATGCTCGGATTAACGTCAAATTTCTCAGGGACGTTCGCGTAAACAAAGAAAGTTAATAGCTTTGAAGAGAAAATTCTCTGCATGTCAGTCTAGGTGGGAATCGAACCCGGCCCTCCGGAGTGCGAGAAAAGCACGCTTCTCCATGCCATGGCAACCCCCGTGTTTTTGGAATGATTGAAGCTGGTACTAGTGCTTGCGTCATTGGGCACGTGATAGCGCAGCCAATGGGGAAGAATTGGTGCCACTTCATGAATGCATAATAATAGCGCGCTGCCTCCTGCGCGTCACACACCGAATCGGCAGAAAAAACTTTGATAGGTGTCGAAAACTTTGATAAAAGAACATCACACCAAAGGGACTGTAATACTTTCGGATTTCCACACGTAAGCAGTCTTAAGTGTCTCTGCCGAATTTTCTTTAGCGAATCTTTTGATATAGACCCTTCTCCTGTTAAAAAAAAAAGAACTTCCGCTCGCGTCCCAAGTGACTTCCGGTCGCACCGTTTTTGCAGGCCTCTTGAGCTTGTTTATGTCACCAGTGCTTAGAAGCATAAATGCTACACGGACAATAAAGTTGGAGATTTAACGAGTGCCTTCGGCTGTATAATATTACATCCTAGAAGAGGCGAGTCGCTTTACAGGTACCTCGAAACATTTTAACAGATCTCGCACTCCTTCGTTTTTTTGGAGTTCATTATTGAATTAAAATGACGTAATTTTGTTGAAAACGCCCGCTGCTTCTTACTCACGGTATGTGTCGGGATACTTCCACAGTTTGAAACGGAACGAAGGACGATTTACTTTTAAAAACGCTCACTGCGTCCTCCCGGACCAGCTGGACCGGATGAGCTGAAGACGATGGGACCGAACCCGTTGAACCTCCACCCCGCAACAAACAATTTGCGCTCCGTGTTGAAAGCGCGGTTCAAACATACCCGGAATACAAAGCGCCGCACCACACACGATGAACGTTTCAGCTCTTTTTCGCATCGCGGTGTTGCACCAAACAGAACCGAAGTCAACGCCGCACTGTCGCGAACCTTGGCTGGTGGTTGCGCACTTGTGGACCCTGTGGCTCCCTTCGCTTTCAAAGCACACACAACGATTACGATTGATACTTTCCGTCTTCCGGAAACATCACAGGGGCACTTCACCGGTCACGTCTTCGCAACATGTGCTTGCAGACCTACGAGCTTCTAGCGTCCCGACAAACCGAAACAATACCGGAGCCATGCTAAACGTGCGTTGTTGCCAGATTTTTACCGACCAAACGAAAGTAACGAAAGCAAACCGGCTCTAGCTTCCAGCGTACATCGGCGTTGCGCCGTGGCCAGGTTTTCTCTGTCAGCTCTAACTTAAAGATGACCTACAGATGCAGCAACTGGTGTACATTTTTAATACGGCGGCCACCACGGAGCGACGTAAATTCTGAGAAGGCTGCATAAGAAGCGGCGGCGCCTTCGCTTGCAGTTGAAGGGTTGAAGCCAAAACGAAACCGACTGCAATATCACGTGTTCAGATCTAGGGCACGCTTTTTAGATTCATTTTAACTGTTTAGAACGAGTAGTTAGGCCCATAATTTTATTTGTGGTATGTATGCAACTATTATCAAGAACCCTAAAATAAATACAAAAATGGGCGACATGAGAGAAGCCGCATTGCCATCGACCAGACTCAATGGCAGGAATGGCAGCGAGCGCGGTAAGCGCGGGGTTCGCCACGTCCCGCGACATGGCGTAATTACTTTTGGTGCATATCTGTCTCCGAGACATGTTTCTTTCCGCGGCATTTGTCTCAACGGTGCTTTTTAAGTGTGTCCCCAAGCATTCCGGTGCTTCGATAGCCGGCAGTGCTGCGGTCGTCGTCGGGGGTGATGCGTGTTTTCGAAATCGGCTACACGGCGTTGCGTGTATGACCGAACCAAAACACGTTTTTTACAACCTCGCATGATTTTTGAATGAATTATACATTACTCAAGGTATAAATTTATGGTAATTTGCTTAAGTAGCGTGTTTTTCACCCCAAATAGTTGCTAAATACACGGTACTTGCTAACAGTGTAGTTACAAACGGCATCTTTAAACTCGACACTTTCCACTATGTCGACGATGTGAGCGGGAAGGCGATTCCGATTCAAAGATGTATCTTTGTTTCATAATCAAGCGTTATAGAGACGTATCCTCGACTGTTCCTTTTTTTTCTTCTACTTTGAAACTTCCTCTTTTCCTGCCTCAGTCTCAGGCTAACATCAGAATGGTCAAAGATGTCATTGGTATGAAAGAATGGTAAAAACTTGATGTGCGACAGGGAAGTATTGCTAGTTTATTTCGATGATCGATACGCGAAGAAACATAAGAGGGTTCAGTTATCAAACGTTTTCGTAATTCCGGGTTATAATGATAAACATTATGAAACAAGCATAGCCTGGATACTTTTCTGCGGAGAGAGAGGATAGGCAGGCCCAAAGTGTTTTTCATTTCAGTCACGCAGAATGTGCGATGATAGTTATGTAAAATGAATCGGACGTGGTTTTGAACGGCTTCAAGCGTTAACGTAAGTGATTTGGGCGGATCCCGAAGGGCAGCAGCGTACTCTAGGTTACTGGAAAGCAGCGATTTATAAAAAGTCAGTTTTGAGGACAGGGGAGCCAAAGAGAAATTTCGTTTAAGAAAGCATAGCATGCAGTTAGCTGTCTTAGTTACATATTCAATGTGAGTGTTATAAGAAAGTTTGCTATTTATGTATACGCCAAGATATTTATATGATGTTACGGGTTCCAGTAAAACATGGTGAATGTGGTAAGACGGACAGGTGTTATTTTGACGTGAGGCTCTCATGGATTTGTACTTATTGATATTGAGTTTCATTTTCCATTCAGCACACCAGCGCGAAATACTGTTAAGGTCCGTCTGTAATGATTGAACATCAGAATAATTAGTTATTTCAGAGTAAATGAAGCAATCGTTAGCTAAAAGACCAATGGTTCATGAGACATGTGCTGGAAGGTCAATAATGAAGATTAGGAACAAAAGAGAACCTAAAACAGAGCTTTGTGGGACACCAGAAGTTACGGGGCAGGGGTGCAAGTTATTGTCGTTGACATAAACAAATTGGAAGCGATTAGATAGAAAGGATTTAATCCAAGCCAATAATTGACTATCAATGTTGATTGCACTTAGTTTATACAAAAGGAGCTTAAGTGAAACGCTGTGGAATGCTTTAGCCAAGTCCAAGAATATGCAATCAACCTAAGCTGAACAACCCAGTGAGGTATGGCTATTGTGAATAAGTTAAAAGTTGAGATTCACGTGAAAACTGTTTCCTGAAGCCGTGTTGAGCAGGGGTGAAAAATCTATGCGCGTTAGGAAATTTGACGAGGTGGGAATGTGTTATGTGTTCTAAAATTTTGCAAGGAATGCTTGTTAACGAGATTGGACGGTAACTATTAGAGCAGGATTTATCGCCCCTTTTATGGATAGGGATCACTTTCCCCGTTTTCTAGTCTTCCGGGATGGTGCCGAGTTCAAGTGATTGACGAAAAAGTTTAGTCAAAACAATAGAGGGGTACATTGAAGTATTTTTTAGAAACTTGAATGAATATTATCCACACCACTTGATGACGACATTTTTAAATCATCAATAATTCTCAGAACTCCGATACATTCAACGTCAATGGGGTCCATGATACCAATACTCGGCCGGCTTAAATCAGGATAGTCAAAGTCATCTACACTAGAGAAGGGCTCAGTGAATTTTTTTTTAAAATAAAGCTGCACAGTCGCTTGTTTCTATCATTTCACCGTCAATGTTTCTTAGCTGTAGGAAGATTTTCTTCGAGGGGTTTACAGTATTCTAAAATTGCTGAAGATTGCTGCGCACCCAGTTAAACAGAGAACTTGGAAACGCTCGAGAACCATATTCTGTTCATTTCGTTTTGACGTGTGATAATAGAATTGATATTGTATAAAAAAAACTAAACTCTGCCCTAAATCGTACATGTACCCCGAAACAAGTAGAAACGATAAAATATGATGAAGAAGTAACAGCAAAAGCACTAGAGAATGTATTCGATGATTATTTTGTGTATTTAGTTAAAGACACCCCAGACCCAGATTTTTGCAAGTTTATAGAATGTCGATATTGTGCATTCATTTTCCATAGTCCCGTTACTGATATAAAGGTAATATCTGTCTTCAGTGCACTTAAAAACAGTGCAAGTTGTGACGCCGGCGGCTTACAAATAAGCCTCTAAAGAATGTAATATATATTATTTCCCCTTGTCTGACTCATATAAGTAACCTCTCCTTGCAAAATGGCGTGTTCTCCAAGCGAATGCAACAGGCAAAAGTAAAGGTTTTAAATAAGAAAGGCAATAAAGGTGAACTAGGTAATTATAGACCGGTTTCAATTTTGCCGGTGTTTTCGAAGGGCTTAGAACAAATTTTACTACTACAAATGACTTCATTTGCAGATAATCATAACCTAGTAAGTCCACCTCAACTTGGCTACCGCAGACAGCGGTCCACTAAATTTGCTCTTCTTGCACAGAAAGAATATATTCTCAAGAACTTTGAAAATAAAGAACAAACTCTCGGTGTAATCATTGACTTTATGAAAGCCTTTGACTATCTTGATCGTGATTTGCTATTTAAAAATTAGAAATGTATAGCTTCCGTGGTCAATTGTTACTACTTATAAATTCATATTTGTCTTCTCGTCAGCAATACGTACATATTGATGGCTATTCGTCAGCAATAAAATCTATACGGTCAGGCGTTCACCAGGGAAGCATCTTTGGCCCTTTTTTATTCAACCTTTACGTAAATGACATTGTAAATATCAGCCGATCAACGAAGTTAATTATTTATGCTGACGACCCTAGTTTATTTTTTACAGGTGATACCACCTCAGATCTCATAGATACCGTGAATGATGCGCTAGAAACACTAGCGAATTGGAGCAAATGTAACGCTTTAAAAATAAACATAAATAAGACTAAGGCAGTGATATTTCGCCCAAAGAATGAACCAGTTGACATAAACAAGACCATAAGTTTAAACTCTTTTAGAATTCAGTTAGTCGCTTCTTTTAAAACATTGGGTATTTTTTCTTAGAGACAATGTCATGAGATGATCACGTTAATTACAGTATATCCAAATTGTCTAGCGCTGTTGGCTTGATATATCGTAATAAACACATATTTTCACTTAAGGTAAAGTTGCTAATATATAGTTCATTATTTTATTTCCATATAAACTATGATCATCTAGTATGGGGCACACCTACCTTTACAAGCTGTAAAAAAAAATTTCATAATGCAAAAAAAAGATATTAAGAAGTATTTGCAAATTCGCACTCGAATATACAATGCATTCACTTTTCACTTCAGTGGGTGATGAAAATTATTGATTTGCATAGATATCGCCTTTGCGCAAAATATATGGTTGAAAAAACATCCATGTACATCATCTTGAATATTTAGCGAATCTAACACAAAGAGTACACTCGTACCAAAAGCGTATTCTGCCACCCTGGCAAGTGCCTCTTTTTAGAACAAATTACGGCAATTACACATAGCATACACACTACCGACCATCCTTAACCACCTTCATATGCACAACATAGAACTTGACAAGCTATCGGTACGTACCTTGCGGGACGTGATACTCTCTGGGCAAATCGGCCACGATTGAACGGTGCCTTTGTGTGTATTTTTTCTACTATATTTTGTAAAGGGGAATATGCTTGTGTTTTGTATATTGTACAATTAATTAACGTAGACCATTTTTTCTCGTTTTTTCTTCAATGATGTGGGGCGGTGCTCGTTTTGTCTGCTCTTAAATATTGTATGCCAGAATATTTTGTTACAGTGCCTTGAACGATGCATGCAAGTGGCGTTTTGCTATAGTGTCTGCTTATTTTCTTTAGTTTCATATATCTCATTGCCGACTGTTAAATCTCTTTTTTGTTTAGTGTTCTCAGTGTATTTCCTTTTTTCCATGCACGCTGCTTGTAGCTGCTGAAGTTATGGGGGCTTAGGACTAGTTAAGCTTTATGAACAACTTTTTCCCAAAGCCCCCACCAACACTGTACCTTTTGTTAGAAAATAAGCCTATTATTATTATTATTAACATGGAGGGCAAGGTACTGTTGAAGAAACAAAGTTTAGCCTCTTTAATAGCTGCCTTGTATTCAGCAGCGATTGAAAGATACGCTGCCCAGTCATGTTCAGCAATGGAATGCACAGAAAGTTTTGCGGCCCGGAACAGTCTTTTCTTTTTGTTTGAGAGATTTCTGAGAGTCCCATTGAAGCTGCCTTTTCGTTTAGGCACGGTGAACGGTAGTGTATGCCTCGGAGAAACTATTCGACGACATTCCACTAGAAAATAATAGGCCAAAGCCACTTTTTGTTTCGAATTCGCTTCAAACAACAAAATCCACTTTTTGCACAATACTAACGAGACATCGGTGTATTTGGACTTAAGGGAGTTGCCAACAGCCTCGACAACACACATAAACCTCATGTCCAGACCTGACAACCTGAAGACAACAACCCGTTCAGAGAAGAAAAGACTGACCGACGGCAGCCATGGCTCCCTTGGGCAGGATGCACAGCTCGGCGCAGCGCCCGGTCCAATAGGCGCACAGGACCGTCTGCTCGGCCGTGAAGCCACCGTCGGCAAAGCCGCAGCCGATCTCGCCCAACGAGTGACCCACAATGCCGTCCGGCTCCACCCCCGCCGCCTGCAGCATATATACCAGCGCCACCTGCGGGAAAGCGCAACGTGTCCCGTCTTGCTAATTACGCCCAAGAAGACGGAAAACAGACGCGCGTGGCTTATAGAGGTACTGTATAATTATGTAGAAGGCAAAGTCCCAGGTATTTCGGTCGCTTCGGAACGGAGGGGCACAGACACAGACGTCGGTGGTCGCAGTGGGTCCATATTGCTGGCGATGTTTTAGTGTACACAAATTGGCGGCAAAACGTCACTTGCAAGCTCTGTACCTAGTGTTCTAGCTTTATTTTCTATGATAACACTGGCATCGTGTATTGCACAAAATTAAACAGAGATGACAAGCACTCTAACAACTCGTCGTGGCGAAACGAACACGCCTCCAAATTATTGTCTCCTTCCTTTCTTTAAATTTCTGTCTTTCTTTCTCTCTCTTCCTCTCGGGACCACAGATGTCGGCGCTTAGTGATGTTCTGCTCTCGTCTTTACCTCCCCGGTGCAGCTGCACTCCGGCCAGGAGTGAATTTACGGGTCGTGCTCGGGGGGCATTTTGACATCGCGGACGGATGTGTCGTTACGGGCAAGCCGTTGCCCGGGTCTATTTGGTTCACCTAATATTCTCCATTTTAAGCGAAACAAGATATTTCTTCTCTAAAAAGTTGGTGCCTGTTGTTTTTGCTACAAAAAGCATGACTCAAAAAATGTTAGATGTTATAAAACGGGACCGTATGAGTGCAGCAGAGTAATTGTTCCTAACATGTTACAAGAAGTTTGGTGATATGAAACGAATGCTGCTTATAAGCTCATTCCATCAAGACGAAAAAACATGCGTAAAGCACTGGAATATGTGATGGGCTCGTTCGATTTGCCTGCGCCAGCCTGCATCGGTGTAGAAAATTGTAAATTGAAAATCGAACGGAAACGACGTCGCCCCACTGGAGACGGAAAAGTGTAGAATTATGGATTTAACATCAGCTCCATTTGCCGTTTTCCGATTAGCTGTTCCGAATTACGAGATATTAAATAACACGCCGGAAAGAGTAAAACCCGAATCCTCCGAAAATGTTTTTTTTTCTTTGTTCGCTATAAAAAAACAGCCCAAGCTCCCTTTCTAAATCGCGGCTCTCTATAGAGAGCCCCAATTTAGAAAGGGAGCTTGGGTTCTGCTTACCTGCACGGCAGCGATGGAGACTAAGAGAGGCATCATTGTCTGGTTGCTGGCGTTATCGCTGGTGATCAGATCTACAAGGTCAATGCCGAAGGGCACCAGGAGCTCGTGGGACCGCCGGATGGAGTCGGCAAACACGTCGAACTGCATCATCTGGCGGGCCATGCCGTTCCACTGGCAGCCCATCCCCGTGAAGACGAACCACAGCGGCCGCTTCTCAGATGGGGCATGCTATAGCGTGGGGAAAAGGGGCAACGGTCAGGACGCACACTCAGCTCGGGTGCGGTAGGGGACAAAAAAAATGGCAAACGACCCCAGAAAGTCTGCTATGCGATTGACAGCCCAGCATTGTGAAAAGGCACGTTCAAGGAGATTCGCTTTCAGCCGGTGCGCAGTACTATATGTCTTTGCTTTCAGTGGAAGTGATGTAGGAGGCGTGTGTGAAACAATGTACACTTTAATGGGACGATTGCGCGAGATGTTGCAGGTGTTAAAAACACAGACGTGCTCATTTTTTGCTGAAACGTTCTTTTAAAACGGGAGCGCCCGTGACTGCACCTGCGGTGGAAGAATGTATGCACACTGTTCCGTAGAGGGGCGGAGAGACACGAGAACGGAACCTGGGCGGCGGCAGTGGGGAGGCGAGGGAGCGTGTCCGGACAGCGCGACCTTGTGGGCCTTTATGCAACAGGAGCTGCCGGATGGCGGGGGGGAGGGGGGGGGGGGAGGAAGAGAGGTCGTTGCGAGAAAGGATGTGGATGTAGCAGAATGATGGGGTGGTGAAGAGCGCTCTCCCCATGGTGACGTGGGTTTTTCGAAACAGCGGGGTCCACAAAGGGGAAGGGAGGTGGGAGGGAAAGGGGGGCGAGAGAGAGCCTTCCCTTTTGTGAGGAATGACGAGGAGATGAAGAGCAGTGACTCTGCTGTAGAGTGGCTTTTTGCGTTCACATATAAACACTTTTTGCCGGAAAGGAGGACCAACAGCTACCACTGTAAAACGGAAGGCTCTGACGATTCTCTTGCATATGCCTTTCACATGCCTTGTGTCATTCCCGGTTCATGTCCTGTGGCATTCCCGGCATATGCCTTGTGCATTCCATGCACATGCCTTGGACAAGTATTATACAAGTCCTTCACGTGGCTTGCACATGCCCTGCAGAACACGCCTTGTGCACAGGCCTCATGCGTGCCTCTATTTTTAAAAAAACGCTAGCTACGATGACACAATTTCTGGGAGAAAGAATGGCAGCTCAATATTTGGCTCTATTCGCACAAAATCCACTGGTACTGGACCGCACATTCGGGGCTAGCCCCGATCTCGAGGAAAGTGCGAGAGACACGTCCGTTGAAGAACACCTCCCCCGACGCAACAAGCGCAGGGCCTGTGCTGCCTGGGGCACCGAGACTAGAGGAAGGCTGGGATTCACCTCGACCCCTTTGATGGGCTCGCGGGAACCGTCCACGGCCACCACGGAGTAGCCGCGGAACGGGAACTGGTTGACGCTGGGCTGCCCGACCCGGTTCAACAAAGCGTAGGCAGGGTCCGGCAGGGGTCCGTCCGCCTCCAGCCGGTCCAGGGTGGCCTGCGAGGGGACACGGGTCTGCCGTGAGCATTCTCATCCATGCAAGACCACCGACACCAGAGTTGACTATAATATGAAGGAAAAGGTCCCAGGCATTTCGTCTATCGGAATGACCGACGTGGACATTGGCGGTCCCTATAGGACCATATCACTGACAACACTTCTAAATACACAAGGAAGCAGCACAACCTCTCTTCCAAGGCCTGCACCTAGCTATTTCCTAGCTTTATTTTGCATAAAACATTGTGCATTCTATCAAAATAAATGAAGCTGACGAGCGCTCGAATAACTTCAATCCATCGTGGCAAAACGAATGCACCTAAGCTATCGTACGCTTTACATATACAATACACAGGCGAGCCGGATAGCAAACATTATTAAATGAAAATGTGAGACCGGTACAAACAAAAAAACGGAGAAAACAACACAAAATTTCAAACGCAGCAATGATTATTCACAGGAGGACGTCAATAAATACAAGTTCACACGAAAGCAGAAATAAAAGAAGAAGGAAGGAGACATTCCCCCCCCCCCCCCCCCCCCCCAGCCGCGATTAGAAAGGTTCGCTTCCTTTTCTGGTTGTACTGGTAACCAGGATTGGCAGTCAGCTAAACCTCTTTGTTTCCATGAAGCCAACCTAGCCTGGCAGATATTTTGGTTTTCATTCCCACCATTCCCGGTTTCATAAAGCGTCGGCGGCCTCTGAGCTGTTCAGGCGCGCCTTCGTCACCTGCTGTTCAAAGAAGTCTCCATTAGGAAATCAAGGTCATAACATCGAATTTCGTAAGAACGGCTACCCTCGACGGTTCATTGTTCGGATTCTCGAAAGTTCATGGCATCTAAACGTAGGGCGCCGTGTTCCCCCCTCCCATCGCGTCTGTGTGCCCTACATTAGCCGCACCATCGAGGCCCTTTCCGCCGTCCTCGGTCGCTACGGGGTCCAGACTCAGGCCCGTGTCAACACTTGGTCATTGCCACCCCCCTCCCGAAGGATCGGCCCCCTAAAGAAAAGGTCCAAGGTTTGGTCTATGGCATCCCATATAAAGGTTGCCCGGCCTCCTACGCTTGCAAAAGTAAGAACTTCGCACAGAGGCTTACGCGACAGAAATACGATGTCCGGAAAAAGGATGTGGAGGTAAGCGCTCTCGCGGAGCACGCGAAAGCAGCCGGCCATACAGTCGACTTCGAGAGAAGCACCGTGCTGGCCTTGGAGAGGATTCGGCGAAAGCGCCTCTTCGCTGGGTCTTGGTTCATCCAACGCTGAAAGGGGAACGGGTTTCGTTCTTCGGGCTCCCTGCCCAGCAGCTACGTCTCGGGACTGCTTGACGTCAGCAAAGCCCCATACAACGGTATGTGCATTTAAGCCACGCCTGTTCTTTCCGTTACTCACCCGTGAACAAGAGATCGGACTGGTCTCGGAACGTCGGGTAAATGTTTATTAAACTATTGGTCACATGAAACGTTTAAACGCCAATGAAACGAATTTTGTCTGGAATAATTGAATTTAGATTGGCATTTTACATTAGCTTATTGTTTAGTGGATAGTATGTCAAAAGACTGATTTTCAGTACCAAAATTTGAAAACACAGCGGAGTATTTCGTGCATCGTTCCCTTCGTAAGCTCTCTGGTTTTTCATTGTGATACATCCGCGGTACGCAAAGCGCGTCACCGGGCCCAAATGCACGTCACAAGACACCGGACCTAACTTATTTCCTTCACTCCTAAGCTGACAGTGCGGTGGACGCTATGCACTTGCCGGGCCAATCAGCCGCCTCCCTTTCATACCCTGACCTCATTCTCTGTGCGAGGGTATACGCGAGGGAGCGTGACTACGTGGCAAAGGTGTCGCTGGCCCAACGAGCACGTAGCTTCCACAGCACTGTCAGCTTCGGGGTGATGGAGGAGGGAAAGCAACTTTTGTTCGAGTTTTGAGTGACGGGATAATTTAGGAAAAGCATGGCCGTGTCCGTGTACACAAACGAGGGTCCGAGCATGAGGGGAGTCGTTCCGTTCCGTCTTCTTGGACTGTTTGGTACTTAGCAGTTGAGGAGGGAAGCTAAGAAGGAAAAAGTTGAAATATGGTTTCATGGCCCTTTTGACGGAGCACGACATGTAGATACCACCCCCCCCCCCCCTCCCAGATAGAACCGTCGCCCGGAAACACCACCGGTTCTTTAGGACCTCAACGATAAGCTTCCTCTAGGCTGCGCGAGCCAGCCCACTCATGAAATAGGCCCCCCACCCTTCCCTCACTCGCCGGAAACCCCCAAGGTACCGAAGCAACAACAGCAAGGCAACAGCAAGCACTCAAAGCAAGAACAGGCCTCTGGCGCGTTTGACTCAGCCAACTACCGTGGTCGCCTATACTCAAGGTTTCTTTTATAATTTTTTATCCGAGTCTCTTTTTTTAAACAAAATTAAGGTCTCTTTCAAAAATGGGAACACGAACTGCATTCACCAATGTGTTTGACCAGTTCTGAATTTGGGCACTTATGTCTCACATCTCTCGTATGTTCAAACAGGCCGTCGTTTATGCAGCGGAATGTCTGGCCCACCATAGCATAAATCACAATAAAATGAAATTTTGTACACAGCCTCCTTTTTAAAACCAATCGACGGATCTATATGCCCCTTTGCAGACTCCTGCTCCCTGTTCTGGCTAAACGGTGTGAGTTTGCCAGGCCGAAAATCTGCCTTGAAAACAACCCATACCTCGAATCATCCCGCCAAAGCATTTAAACTCTTCGAGAACCCATGCAAATATTATTATTAAAATATAATAATAATAATAATAATAATAATAATAACGATATTGATAGCTTTATTGCTGCTCTTTGAGACTAGTCGAAATTAATGCAGGTTCGTCAAAGCCATCGAGGGCTTCTGGGACAGAACCTAAGTTGAAGTGACATCGAGTGAAGTATTAAGAAAATAAAAGTTAAGCAGCGCAGTAGCCTCAAGAAACTTATTAGAAAAAAAGCCGGAGCATCGCATCGGTATTAAGTGAAGAAAAAAAAAAGAAAAGCTTTAGCGTCGCAGTAACAGTCAGTGTACAAATGAAAAAAAAATGTCAGCTTTGTCACAGTCTTGAGAAACGTTCGTGAAGTTTCAGAGGTTGGTCATGCGACACCAGAATGTCCTATGTTTTACATATCAAGAGTATCTACAGAGCGCGTACAAGCGATCGCCGGTTTTTTCAGTTTTTCTCTTTGAAACCAAGAGATGTCATCTAAGTTAGTATTGCTACGGAAAGAGCTCATTTAGTTCTATCTAAGCGATGAAATTTCGTGCTCGCTAATACTATTTAGAAGTAAAATGCGGAAATGCGCCGATGTCGTGTTCGCGCTAACAGAGTCGCGATGTGTACTCTGGAGCACCAATCAGTATGATCAATTAGCTCTAGTATATGCATACCTACCAGTCTTCAGCCCTTTCGAACCCCAATAACTTTACAAAGTTAGAAAAAAGTAGAAAAGAAAACAATGCGCACCAAAAATAAAGATTAAAAAAAATGTTGCATAAGAAAAAACAGGGATGCTTGTTCTTTTAAACCCGACAAAAGAAAGCAACCAACAAAGAAAAAAAAAACACAGGCCTTTTAAGGGGTTTTCACTAAAGGAGGTAGAATGACGTAGAGCTTTCCTTAGTTTCTTTTTCGAAAGCAGGTCTTCAAAGTTGGATTAACGCCTTAAAAATTTGAGGAACATTGTAACATCGCATGTTTTCCATAACGTGTATAACGCGTGGGAACAATAAACCGAGTGTCTAGTCGTATTCGTCATTCCAGTAGGGGGTGAGGACGATCGTTTCAAACAAAAGAGACTAAAAATTAGGCATGAAGAGGGCCTGAAAAGAATCGGGACAAGATGTCGTGGGTTTGTAAAGTACATGATGCAGGATTCCTTTTAAGATATTGTTGACCTTTTTGTGCCATAACCCGGAGCAGTTGCCAAAAACTGTTATGCCATAGCGGAGTATGCTATACGATAACTAGTTAGCTACAAGTTTTCGTATACCAAATGGCAGGAAGGGCTTGATGTTGTATAATAAGCAGGAAACACTCCTTAATGTTTAACATATTTTTAGGAAATGAGTTCCATGAAAGGTCTGAGTCAAAAATAATACCAAAGTATTTTGCGGTGTTTGAATAAGAAATGGTAGCGCAGTGGCAGGCGACGCATTGTGATGTGTTGAGCAGAAGAGGAATGTCTAAAACGATAGTCTTAAGTGGATTGTGAAAACAAACTAATTTTGTTTTTGAGACGTTTACGTCGATTCGATTTTGCCAAACCAGTTCATTAATTCGATGGAGCATTTCTGTAGCATTTTCATCGCTATGGGAAAAAAAAGGAGACTCGTTAGCAGAAAAGTGTCATCAGCACATTGATAGATGGTACAGTTTGCGATGGAGGTATAAATATCGTTGACGTATGTATTAAAGACCAGGGGTGATAGAATCGAGCCCTGTGGCACACCTGCTTCTAGGAAACTTTTGTTGCTATATATTCCTTCTATTGAAACCATTTGTGCTCGACCTTGTAGAAAATTTTTTAACAGGGCCAAGAAAGGCCATCGGAAATCAACAGCGGAGAGCGTTTGTATTAAAATGGACTGGTTTACAGTGCCGAACGCCTTGCAGACGACGATAAAATATGCCCATGTAAACAGGTTAGATGCAAAACCTAAATTTATGTTGTCTGAGAAAGCTTCGAGAAGATGTCGAGTACCACGCCCCGGAATAAATCTGTACTGGGTGGGAGATGTGATGTTGTATTTATCCAAAAAGAAAACCATTGTTATGTAAATAAATTTTCTAATATTGTTAAGCAAACATGGCAGAATAGATACTGGCCTATAGTTTTCTACTCCCACTCGTTGTCCTTCTTTAAAAAGAGGTTTAACAATGGCGGTTTTGAGTTTGGTAAGAATTAAACCAGCAAGAACATTTTGTCGAAAAGAGTAAGAAGTATGTATTTTATATAGTTAAAATTTCTACGAA